ATATAACCATTCGTATAAGTTGGAATAGAAGTTAAAAGGAAAGAATTTCAGAGTTTTTTTTTGGGGCGGAAGTGGTGTAGTGGCAAGTGGCACGCTTACCACGCGAGCGGTCCGGGGATCAAATCCTGGGTCGTGAGTCGCCCGGGCCAACCAAGCCTTCCATCCCTCCGGGGTCGGTTAATTGGTACCAGACTTGTCTGGGAGGATAAAAACACTGACTTGTACATCGGCTGGCCCCCGCAAGTCATTGTATAGGCCACATCGCATTCAAACGCCACTACGAATGTACAAATGGAAGTAGAATGCGTGCCGCATCCCAAAAAGGGATTGATCAACGGCAAATGCTTTATCCTTTATCCTTTTATTATTTTGTACAAAATTCTCCATTAAAGACATGGTGGCTGAAGGAGCGAAAACTCAACGAACTTTCGGCGGTACTCTGACAAAAATCCTCAAAGGTGTCATTTTCAAAAGCATCCCTTTTCATCGCTCCATCCTGTGTCTGCCGGTCCCAATTGGGGGTCTCAGGCGGTTCGTCGTAGTCCTTCTTTGCCACTGGACCTTTACACCACCTTTGCTTTCGCTAACAACGAGCGACCTATTTATCGTAACATCTGCCTATAGAACGGATTTTCGAATTCACTGCAATGTGTTATTAATTATTAATGTATGCCTTCTATGAGTATTTATTTTTGTTTTTATTTCCATTAGAAGAGGTAAGGTTCCGGAAGACTCCCCTGCACCATTTCAAAACAAATATTCTTTCTATCTAATTTGTTTGAATTGGCAACCATTTGATGTTAAGGGTCTTTGAATGGTCTAATAAAAAGCAATAGTTTTTAAATCGGGCTATGAGGTGTTTCAAAACGTTTCATCCAACCTAATGTTATTTGCCGTAGCTCTGCACCCAAGACTTACCACATACCCTAGGACTTTACCATGGTTTTTCTATTGTTGTTTCAGTAAATCTGGATTATTATTTCAACTAGCAAAAGCACGAAAATGGAGCACCTAGCGTTGCTTTTGTCTCTAGAGTGTTGTTAACAACATACGAGTGTTCTCGCCTCACTCAGAATCACAGTGGCAATTCGGCTTTCGCAGTGGCTTGTGGTACCAATCGATGTGCTATGACTTCTGTACTGTAGATTATGATACAGCTATGTACTACTACATTCTTCCTTTAGAGTTGTAGTTTACCGTGGTATATGTGCCCGTAAGACTCGATGTGAAAGAACAAGCAATAAAGTTTCATCGATATAATGCCCTCCTTCCACAGGTTTCACATATAGAGGCCGAGACTGGGGAAAATTTAATAAATATTCTGCTTCCGGCACTACTGGAGGGGTACACAGATCGGTGAGCTGCCAATAACCATATCATATTATAATTCGAGCATTGGCGCTCGTACTCGCGTCCGCGTCGCTGGTGAGCTTTTCCCTCCGCCACCATTCATCGGTGGTGCAGAATTGCTGGTCACGTTTCGAGACTGATATCGACATTTTATTTACAACAGCAACATTTCGTGGCGATTAGAACTATGTGCAAAACGAAAACAACGAGTGATGTGTAGAACAGGAACTGAGGGCTGTACACTGTAGAGGTGGTATCGTAGTAGTCGACGTAACTCACTAACGCCAACGTTTTATAGAAACCTGAAACAACGAAAGCAATAAGCAGATGAGTTAGGCTCAATCATAATATTTACATAAAACGCCGTCATTTCATTTGCGAAAATTACCAAGAAACCAATGTTTTTATCTCCTGCATCGCTATTCAAGGTTGATTCAGAAGTCTAAAGAAAGGGCGATTTGAAGAAGCTGCTAGCTGCCTTAGGCCGATGTCTCACTTTGCGAATCCAGCTCGATTCGCTGGATACGAGCGTTGCACCAGCGAATCGAGCTGTGTACCAGCGGATCGAACTATGTGCCAGCGGATCGAACGATGTACCAGCGGATCGAACGATGTACCAGCGACTCAACACTGTTTGAAAGTGGCGGGACTCCCTCTCGTTTGCACGTTGACTTCCGCCACTTTCTCGAGCTCTTATACCATTTCACTCTCTCATGCTCTCGTGAGCCCGGCAACGTGGTGAGAGCCAACGTGCAAAGGAAGTGCTGCTATTTTAAAACAGTGTCGAATCGCTAGACATCGTTCCCTGGAACAGTTCGTTCTCTGGTACACAGCTCGTCCGTTCTGTGCGCCGTATCCCGCAAAGTCTGACATCGGTCTTAAGCCTGTACGAAGACTCCTCTTTCGTAATAATGGTAAGAGGGGAGGGTGTTTGGCAAGAAAAATCGCATTCTGGGGACGCAAAGCATGGAAACCGAGTCCTCACCCAGCTCATCCCGCCCCTTAACGGGGGAAACCTGTGGGCCAAGCAGGTGACGGAAACCTTAAGTACTCACTGGTTAAATATTGATATCAAAGTTACCGAATTCAAAAGTGATAATAGAACCTACCATACACTCCGACTACCATAGAGATCAGCGATATTGCAACATACACAAGCGCCACCATTAAACCGACAACGATTTGGAATGCGTCCTTAAAGCAAATAGGATATAAGCAGAATAAAGTTTCTTGAAAAACAGAATTTCTCATAAATTTTCGTTTTACGGGCTGGGCTCTTTTAGCATGGGTCTGACCCCTGCTCTTATCTAAGGAGGAGTTGGAATGACAACTAGGTCTATTGATCGCTCTTTTGGGCTTCTTACGCCCACACATCCTCTTTAGAAAACTCGCGGAATCGCTACAGTATTCGAAATCAAGAAATCCACAAGTTGGAGCACGAACACTCATAGTTAATACGTCCACTTTCGAAATCATCGAAGGTTTTGGTTGAAAGATTTGGGAAGAGCTTTCCCGACACCTTTTCTCACTCGTTGGCCCAGTTCCTAGAACACTAACCTTCACTCCTTTCGAGACCGCGATTGATGTTTGCATACACGTGACGAAAAATGCGGTGGCTAATAAGATTTGTAGAACACCTGAAAATTGCAATTTCAACGGAAGATTCCACGATAAGGCGGAAGTCAGAGAAGGGGAAATAGTATACCTAGTTGAAAGGCAGGCAAGTCCCCTAATGGTGCGCGTTCGGCAGGTTAAATTATGCCCCCTGTTGCCCAGCAGGGCTATACCTGCCCAGCCCCTTGACGTTTGACAGAGCGTTAGCGTTGAAGAGGGCACACCGATGAGAGTCGCATCAATGCGGAAATCAACGGGCAAGGAAGGGGTCCCATTTCTCGGGTTCTGGGCCGTTTCTCATGGTTTTTCCTTCATCCCTGCACCACTGACCACCTTGATTTCTAATGGGTGCCTTTTATCCCAAACTCCGCCTTTAATCAAAATCGAACCGTATCGCTCATTGTGGTTCATGGGCTCAGACTGTACACATATACATTTGCCAATCTGTAAAGCTATACATACGAAGATGGAGGTCAAGTCCCAGTTTATCAGTCCTTCTCGAACACGTGCCTCATTCCAGCTCAGTTATGTACTTTTGTACTCATTTCTATGTGTATGCTAATTTTACTTTGACAATGACTTTTTTGACTAAAGTCCTGATAACGTAGAAGTGTTTGCTCGTTTGCCTTGCTTTACATGAGTCGGGCTCTCCATAGCAAAATACGCCCTAGGCGCCACCGTCGACTTCTGTACAATATATCCAGCAAAAGAATTATTATTGGGCCAACCGTGGGCCCAGTTACTTAAGAGCTAAACCAATTACAGGCGGTACCGCCCACAACATTTGAGCAACTACTGTTCGACCATTCGCTCACCGAAATACCTCTAGACAGGCATATGGACTTACATATAATCGAAGTGA